CTCCCTCTCTCTCTCCCTCCCTCCCTCCCTCCCTCCATCCGTCCCTCCGTCCCTCGCTCCCTTCCTTCCTCCTTCCTTGCTCCTTCCTTGCTTCCTTCCTTCCTTCCTTCCTTCCTTACTCACTTGCTTACCTACTTACTTGCTTGCTTACTTACTTACTTATCTGTATGTGCGTATGTATGTATGGAGGGATGGATGGATGGACGTGGGGCATTCTATCCATGCTTATTTGTATATATGTATGTATGTATGTATGTATGTATGTATGTATGTATGTATGTATGTATGTATGTATGTATGTATGTAAGCTTACACACCGTCACTACATGACATTAGCTTTCAACACGATCTTCAGCTTTAGTCTTGAAGAGGTCACTCCGAAACTGGGCGAATACCGAACAAAGCCGGGCAGGTGTCACGGAGCCCACATGCTCACAGTTCACGTTGTGTGCATGTGCCTCCATTTCAAGGCCACAACTTGCTGCTGCGCATCGTGGAACACAAGGCACACGGGCGAGAGCTTCTCGCGCAGGCCTGGCAGGGCTGCGGCTGAAAGCTTCAGGTCAGCGGATTACCGTCTGAGGACTTCAGATCGGACAGATTGATTTGCGGTTTCTTTTTGAAGCTCGCACTCCTGGTACCAGCCCTTCTAGAATCGATAACAGGAAGAACTATGCGGGATGCCTGGAACTATGCTCGAGGAAGTATGGAAGATAAAGGCCCCTGCCCTTCCTCCGGCTCAAGATGCTCCAACATCCACGCATCGAGCTGCCGACCCATCGTGCCAAACGGTAAACAGTCCGTGGTGCGTTCCTATGCCCTTGAACACAAAGGCTTCAACACCTCGGTGCTGCCACGTTGGGCCGATAGCGGCAGGAGGGGCCAAGAGTGCTTGAGTCGCATGACCGATGACAGGAACAGCAGCAAACCTAACAAAACATGACAGGGGGGTGCTGCCTTGGACGAGCGCATCGGCAGCCTCCGCAGAGACGATTTGCAGCATCTCGCGCTTGCCCTGCAGACTGGGCATGGACAGTCCTAGTCCTAGACCGATGCATGCTGAGACCAGGCTCTCGCTTCATCTTTGTCCATAACATCACTAAGACTGCTAAGTACATGTTTTTTACCACTACCAAACTCAGCTTTCTCCACATACTGTTGTTTCATGGTTCATAGAGCCCCCACGCATCCCATGCGATCAGTGCCAGCATCACCATCGCCGTCATCGTCGGCCTGTGACGATCGAGCAAAAGAGCCATGAAGCCCTACCTTTCATGTCCAGGGTCTATGAAAACTAAGGCTGCCCGGGAGCTCTACAAGCACCCACAACCAGTGAGAGGCAGAGAGGGAGGCTCTTCCCATCGCGGCGCAGACGCATCTTGCCTCATCCCCGTTTTGGGTCACAGCAGGCGCGCTACCCACCTGTCAGCTGCACTTCTGGGACCCATGATTTGGGGCTCTCAAGGGCCGGTGCTGCCTCCAGTGGCGGCAGTAGTTGCAGCACCACGTCGAAGGCGCTGGTGTCCTGAGTTTCATGCGCGATGCTCCCTTGGACCTGGACCAGAAACCGTTTATAATGCAGAGCATCTCCGTAGCGACACGGGGTCCTATAAGAGTTACTATGCTGTGGTATTTGCAAATAAGGAATATGAGGCTCACAAACCGAAACCTCCCAACGAAGCTAGCTGCACAAGGGCCCTGGTGGCCTTTCCACGAACTCCAATAACCTGCAGAAAGGAAGATTCAAAGGCTCATGCGCTGTTGCTGGGTTGCAACTACGTCGAACCACCAAGCGGTCTAGCATTCTTCGTGATCATGGTTTCACCCTGACCCCTTAACGCCGACTTAACGCCTGGTCCAACCCTCAACCCTAGCCCCAAATCGGCGAACTCCTGCACCCTAAACCCCTCCATCCAGACTGCTGTCAGAGCAGCCAACTCGAAGACTTGGCGCCAGCTACCTTCCAGGCCTGGGTTTAGGGTTTAGGGTTGGTGACAGTTTAGGGGTCAGCTTGGAGAGGCGGAGGTTGAGGGGGTGGTTCTTGGTTCTGTAGTGTTTCTTTAGGAGCTGAGTCGGGGATTTCGGGGGTCTAGCGCTCTGGGATGTGCCCCGGGAGCCGGATTCTCCGGCGGATCTCCTGAGCAGAGCGGTTTCTCCTCAGAGCTTGCAGGAACGGAGGCCCTAAACTTTAAACCCTAAACCCCAGACACAAACCCAAATGTTAAACCCAGCCTATCAAGAAAAGGGTCTTGTTATTTGGAAACCGAAATTTAGGGTTCGGCCTTGCTGTATCCTGCCATCTAGGGTCTGGAGAGGGGTTCCTCCCCAATTTGCGTACCGGCCCTTCATGTGCAGACCCTAGTCCTTTGCAGAAAAAGAAAGCGCCTACCACTGGGACAGGATCCTGGCTTTGAGGATGCCAAAAGGGACCCCTAATTCGGAGCAACCCCTAATTTCGGCTACCCGAAGATTCTCAAATAAAAGCTGAGCTCCCAACCTAACAGGCGTGCGTGAAAGCTTCGCAGTGCCTCCTGCGCCCGGCGCCTCAACGATCAAAGATCCGGGAGTTTGGGGGAGCACCCAATCCGGGTTTAGGGGTTAGGGTTTAGGGTTTAGGGGTGTTGAACCCCATGTAAAGCCTTCTTTAAGCCATCGGCTCTGATAGGGGTGGCTTGCGACGGAGCGCAACGGCTCACGCAAAGCTCTGTGCTTCACCAAACGTTGTGCATTCAGCACTGGAGTCTTTCCAGCTGAAAGAACTCTTTCGAGATGCCCAAAAGCCCCACCACCCTCATAAAATAACGACAATCTTTGTAACAACTTGCGGCCTTCTTGTTAATGTCGCTGATAATGCTCACGTTAGCATGTTAATGCTAATGTTAATGCTTATACGGCTACTGCTACTGCTACTGTTGCTCTTGCGTTTGGTGCTGATGTTGGTGTTTACGTCAATGATAATCGCACTACTGTTAACATGGTAGATGCGAATATGTGTACCTGTACCAGCATTAATGTCAACCAGACTGCTGTTCGCAACATTAATGGCAAGGTTAGCATTATGACAACGAACAGTACTAGGAATAGGAATACTAGCTAAATGAATACTGATATCAATTTTAACATGGAGTTAACATTCTTACTAACATTGACATGGATTTAACTCACATATCCATGCTATTACGAGTACTTCTTATTAATGTTGCCACTCATTTTTTAAATTTTCGCACATGTGAATATCAGTAACACGAATCGCTATAAATATCAGCACCAATATCATTCTCTATACTCAGACTAGGCTTCGGATTGAGAGTTAGGTGTATTTGGCCTGTGGTGAGTCATATTAACTTTGTCAATACTAGCATGAGCTTACGAGTATAATAGTACAAATATTGCCGGGCACGTTAATATCAATATCCGTATCTATATCAGAGTTGGCAGCAATATAAGCATTAACAATGCGTGTTGATCAAAATATAGGTACTGACATTTGTGTAAACATTAGTACCAATATGAATACCGAAGTCAATATTGAGATCGAATGCTTAAAACAATCATGACTTCGATATTAAATTCGTGTTAGGTATGAATGTCAATAGTGACATTCAAACAAAAACACACTGGCAATAGTAATACGAATACAATTACGTATTTGATACTTGTATTCATGATAAAGGTTAGGTTCATGCGAAATTGATCATTCACCGTTCACCTGGACATCAATCAGTCATAGCCACCCTGAACATTCTCGTGAATAGTACTACGAACACTCGTACCAATACTCACAATAATGCTAATAAGACGGTAGTACTACCAGCAATCATAAAAGCAGAGGACCAGCCTCAGCCAACTTGCCACGGTGGATGGCGGCGTCGCCAAAAGCAGCGCGTGGGGATCGAGGCGGGTGGAGACCTCAGAGCAGAAAGACAAGGGTAGGGATTGACTAGGGATTAGGATTTAAGGTTTGGGGTCAAGAAGGGTTCAGGGATTAAGGATTACGGGGTTCAGGGAGTTTGGGGCCATATTGTAAAATTTGAAATTCATACCATATTTCTGTACCCAGGACCAGTTATATTTTTGTGGTAAACATAAACAAGACTGGGTTCTAGCTTGGGGCTCTTTTTGGGGATTCTGTTAGAGCGCCCTTTTTGTTCCCTCTCGGCCCGGGGCCCAGAAGCGGAGGAGGCTGGCATCTTTCCTTGGACTGCGAGCTGCTCTCACGGCAGTGCATAAAGTCTACGCAGAAGCGGCATCAGGGGTCTCCAAAACTGAAGGGGCCAGCTGGGATGCAAGCAACATGCATTCATAGCATGCTTCTGATGTGCGCCCTGCTGTGCTCTCACAGATGTCTCAGGGCGACCCGAGTGTCTGCGCCGTGTCCAGGTGGTTCTCGAAAGACTGCCTGAGGCCCAAACGCTCCTGGAGGTTGCTCGGACTCGTTTCTCGGTCTTGGTTCAGGCTTGTAGCTTGGTGCTGTTTTCATGGTTTAGAGGCTCTAGGACCTAGGACTTTGGGCCCTCGGGTACTGAAGCTGGCTACCCCGCAATCCTTGAAAGCCAGTGGACCAGGACCTGACCCCAGCCGAAGCAGTGAGAGAATTTCGGCCACTCAGGCAGCAACGCGGAGTTGCCTGAAGTCGCATTGCGAATGCTTGGCGACGACAACTTATCGGTGTCACAAAAAAGTTATTCTAATTCATCCCCGTAGGGTCTTGAAACCAGTTCACGTGTGACATACAGGCAATTGAATTGGTTCAATTCCCAAAGACTCCAATACCCCTTAATTAAGGAATATACCTTAATTCATATTAGGGATCCTACCATAATTTAAGGTATATTCCTTAATTAAGGGGTATTGGAGTCTCTGGGAAGGTTTTTTGCAGACTGTCCAGGTCCTCCTCCGTGAGCTTTCCATCGATGTCGATGACGAGCGCTTCCTCTGCCAAAAGCAGGAGGCTAGCACCAACAACAAACAAGCGATACATACCTTATACCCAGACCCCAAAAAGCCTCAACCATAGTCGCACTAACCCCTCCGAAGATGGAACTATTTCAGAGGAACCTTCGGGGGCACATCGAAAATCCTTAGTTACCAGGTTCCTCGCGACCAGCTTGGGTATGTCCCTAGCTCCGGCCCCTTACGGCATTCGTCACAGGTACCCCGCGGTCCCGCTGCCAGTCGAAGGTATCCAGCAGCCAGAGGGCGCGGCAGAATCCGACGTGAGGGCCTGGAAAGGCCACCCGAGCTTTGGAGGGCTCTTCGTACTCTGCTAGGAGTCATAAACTCACGAGCCTCTTCTTTAGGACACGGGCGACATACCACAAGGCATTTAAAAGCCTATTGCAAATGGTCTTGCACAAGGATCCAGTCACTCTGGTCTTGGCAAGAGGCTGCTTGGCGCATCGAAGGGCGCCGGATGAAGGAAAACTGCGGACACCAAGTGCTCGCAGAACCTCAGTCCCAGTGGAAAACGGCCGAATCCCGTGATCCGCTCGTAGCGCCGAACGTTCCGAAGCGAGCGCATGAATCTTGCCTGAAATCTTGATGAACCACTTCCCTATGCCCAGTGGCTCGTCGTATCCCGACATCATCCTGGGCTGCTGTGACATTATCCACAAGAGCCTTAAAAGGGTAGGGCGAAGTCCATGCACAAGAGTTTCGGAACTGCTGGTTCTGGTTGTTCAGGTGCCCGTTAAGGAGAAGGAAACCTCACAAACCATGAATTTGTCAGAATGCAACCCTGAACACTGACAGCTCTGCCAGGCATCTGCGAGGCCATCCAGCGCTTGAAGAGCCGGGCCGCCCCAGCCATCGCTGGCTTTTGTAGCCTCTGCCGCTCTTGTTTTGGCACGTAAATAGGGCCTTGCTGCCAGTACGACGCTTCTGCTCGTGACCTCGACATGCGTTGCAGTCACGGCTCCTACTTGCGAAGAGGATTTGTGCTGAGGAGTCTTCTGGTGATTCATGATCCGCAGCCTGGGTATCCCCGAAGTGTATTTTTCTTGTTTGCTTGGCCGGGAGGGCCACTCAAATCAAGAGTAGAATTGTCACTCTACAGGAAGAACCATACAAAAATAACGCAAGAAAACATGCCGGAGCAGCAACAACAAGGCTAAACATATCTAAGCACGGCAGCGACAATCCGCATCAGGATGATCATGACCATGACAAGACTAGCCATAAGCTGCACATACTATCGACTAGGAGACCCATCCCTTGGCGGTCAAAGATGGGCTCCGGGCGCATGGGCATGCAAAGAGGCACGGAGCCGTGGCCGCCACCAGAGAGTGCGGAGTCTCGGATGATGGCTCCCGGATTTTCGGGATTTATGCTCGATAAGAGCACATCATTCTTAATCATGCAAGCGCAAGCCCAATATGTCGTAAATACTCTGTCAAGTCACGGAAGCTTGGGATATCAGGTTTTCTCAGCAGGCGTTTGAGGTTTCTCCCAATTGAACTCCTTCCGTCTTCCATCGAACTGGCAATCTCATCTGCTTTGTAAACCGTGCGACAAGAAATTTTTTCTCTGACATTTCTATACCTGCACGCATCTCAACGTGCCGCATGTAACAACATGTACCAAAAAACTGATAAGTATACGGATGTGTGCGAATCCGCCATATGGGGGTTTCCGAAAACCCTAATAGAGTACCCTAAGATAGTAGGATCCTTATTATACGGACCCCAAAAATAAGGCACCCCTAATTGTCGGAAGCTCCACCAAAGACAGCGCCCTACGAAACCCTAAACCCTAAACCCTAAACCCTAGAGCCCTAAACCCCCAGAGCCCTAAACCCCTAAACCCCTGGAGCGATGGCGCCGCCGCGTTTTTGGGGCCCCGGCCTTTCCAGCTCTGCCTCGCCGGGCGCTGTGGTCTGAGCCTGCTCCCAGGGCTCCACGGAGCGGTTCCGGTTCCGGCTTTGGGGTCTTTTGGGGGGTTTTTAGGGGGGTTTATAGGGGGGTTTATAGGGGGTTTATAGGGGGCTTTATTGGGGGTTTGTAAGGGTTTATAAGGGGTCTATAGGGGGTTTATAGAGGTTTATAAGGGTTTCTTGGGGTTATAGAGGTTTATAAGGGTTTTCAGGGGTTTATAGGGGGTTTGTAGGGGTCTAACTATAAGATCTATATAAGGGTTTAGGATATAGTCCCAGAAGACGGGAAGTGAAGCTTCTTCTTTCGGGGCTTTTGAGGGAAACGGCATTGTTGCGGTTCAAATCCGACCAGGCGTCGAGGCCCTTGTCGATCTGAAAAGCCCTCCATCCGATTCCCATCCCCAGTCTAAGACAGGCTCCAGGTTTAGGGCTTAGGGTCATACTGGGCTTGCACTCTCCAAGCAGCCTGTAGCCCGGTGACCTTGTTGGCCACCTGCCGAAGCGGGAAACAAGGCAAGGAGCCGCGTGGAGGCTACGAGGCTCTGGGACGCGGTAGGGCTCAGACTGGCATCGCACTCTTTTGATCGGTGCAAAGCGTTTGGATGCGGCTTTCTTTTTTGGGGGGCAGGGTGCGCAGTCGCAGCCTCTTGCAGCTCATGGGGGTGGAAGATGCGCAGACGGAACACCGTCTCCGGGTAGCGCCTGATGCATACAGCATCCCGGTATTGATGCAACGGTTATTGCACGAGCAAAGGGTGTCCTCAGTTCAGAGCCTCACATCACTCGAAAGGATTAGGCAACTTCAGGGTACAAACCGCAAGGACGAGCCTTCGATACCTGCTTGTCTACGTCCCACACCCGCTTTACAAAACAGAGGGCCGCAGGAGCTTCGGAAGAGGATGGACCCCAAAGTCTCATCCAGTGCAAAGCCCCCAGAAAAGGAAGAATCCTCATATCCCCCGTGCCGAGCCACACATCCAGAAAGCCCTCGGTGGCATCCGCTTCGATGCCCAGGTCTGTCGAAAGCTCCTCTCGAATCCTGCTTGGTCTGATCATATTACAACATAGATAAGGTTACCAGGCCCGCATTTCGATCATCACTCGGGCTTTGGTAAGGGCCTGGCCTGGGGGACTGAGAGTGTCAAACTTCTTAAAGCTACCATGCGCTCCCGACTGGACATTGCAAACAGCGGATTAACTCTGGCTGGCGCGTCGGCGCAGCTACCAGGTGCGATTTGAAAGCCACACTTTGTTGAAGCATCTGCTTGATTCCCAAGAAGTCCAGTCCGAAGTCCCTGTACTGTTGGGGGCGGTGTGGTCGAGGTAGTGGAAGTAGATGGGTAAAGCACGTTCGGTAGTGAGTTCTAGCCAATACCTACAGGGGTGACCTCTGTGTCTAGAGGTGAATTTAACCCTATCCTTATATCCTGGCGAAAAGACCACGTGGTGTAGGGGGTCATTCGGCGGTGTAGCCAAAATATCGGTAAGCTGTTGGAACTGTCGTGTGAGAAGAGTTTGCCACGGCAAGGCAAGGCGTCCTGAAGCCTTCCAGACCCTTTCATTAGTCACGCGGGAGTAATGCGAGGATTTAACGCCTATACATCTCCGAAGGTACTGGTGGAACCAAGCATCGATGGTTTTAAGGTGTTTATTTTCCAACGTGAGGACCTCTAAGCCGTACAACAGTATTGGAACGACGCTTGCCATAAAGAGCTTAGTTTTGGCTTTAATATTGAACCTGGAGTGTCAAGCTTAGGAGCCCTGGTTGGCCTTTACCGAGGGCTTGTTAGAATTCGGGCTTCTACGGTAGGGTCCCGCGCATCTTTTTTGGAAAACCCGCCACACCGTTTCCCGACCAAAACCTCATGCCGTTCAGACCTTTCTTTAAGCAAGGTAGTCGATGTACCAGAATACCCGACAACCACTTCGCGCCAGGGCACTGCAGCAGCAGTGCGGCTCCAACTTTCTGCGCAGGGGCCTGCGAGAAGGGATCTTTGAAGGGATTGGAGATGCTTTACGAAAGTCCTAAAGAACCCAAATCCCTATATCCGCAGACCCCCCAAGTATCCTTGAAACTCCTTGAAGAAACCTGCAAGAACGCCCCGCCGGCTCGGACGGCCATCGCCCAGAGGACTCGAACTCCAGCACGGTATCCAAAAGCGTCCGCCGCAGCTTCTGGGACAGGTTGAGGGGTTTCGGAAGCTTAGAATTGAGGCTCGGTCTCGGATCTGGGGGTCCAGCGGTCCAGGGTCTGTTCAGAGTTCAAGGTTCTGGGATCTGGCTTGGAAAATTCAGACTGTTAGAGATCTCTGGCTTAGTGTGTAGGTGGAGTCCAAGCTCGCCGCTTCATGAGAAGACTGACTTCAACAAGGCGGAGTTGACGACGCGCAGCTCAGCGTTGCGTCTGGGAGCTTGCTTGGACTCAGATTTAGGAAAGCCATGCAAGCGGATATATCTCAGGCGGATCGCGGCATCGCTGCCCGATGGCGCTGGGGGCGCAATGGTGGACTGGATCGACATGTAGCCTCAAAGCTGCAGGATATAGCAAGGCTTCGAAATCCTGCAGAAGGCTCAAAGACTGCAGAGCTCTATTCCGCAAGGACAGCTTCGTGGCAGCCGGGCAACTGAAGGAGGCATCTACGGGGTGGATGTCCTCGGTCGCCCGAACGGAGTGACATGCGCTTAGGTTATTTGCGGGGCCATGGAACCCGAAAACTCCCCCCCAACCTGATTCTGCAACTGTTTTGGTTGGGCAGGGGTTAGAGCATTCCTGTTTGGGACCGGAAGGTTTCAGGGCTTAGGCCCTAAGCTTGCGATCCTTCTTTGTAAAGGTCCCGGTGCCTTCACAGCCAGCGGAAGGGAGCTCAGCTGGCAGAGGTGCGTGCGAAAGGTCTCGAAGGCAGCCCACAGTCGACGGTCCTGCATGGCAAGAGCAATTGAGGTCCACGGACATATTGGGTCTGGAATTTCCTCGGCCGTTGGGTAGGATCTTGATGGGAGTTTTCGAGTTCATATGAGATGAGATGCCAGCAAGTCGTCGCACAGCAGAGATGGAGACATCCTACAGGCCCGGGCACCTTCTCGGCGAGGTTCGGCACGAAGCCGGTGGGTCCCGAGATGATGTCCTCCGAAACATCGAAACTTCAGAGTGGTCTCGCTATTGAGATCAGCTATCAGGCTATCAGTCTGATGCATGCCAAGTCCAGGAAGGGGAACCGTGGGCACCTCCTGGTGTACAATGGCTCATCCTACACCCTGTGCATTTGACCCCAGCTTGCTCTACTCTTCTCCCTCCATGTCCGTCTTCGGTGCCAGCTGAGACGGCAGATGCCGCGTGAGCAGATGTTGCACGATCTGCGTCACCTCGGGATCATACTAGCTAGGCTCTACCAGACTTTACCATGATTCCTTATCACAGCAGCCTCTGCAAACAACTGAACAAGTACCATAAAGCACATGATGACCCCTGATGACTCATGGTTCTTCAACCTCTGCTGGCGGGTCAGGCACCACGGCCGGCTGCTTTCGAGTCTCCACCGTCCTCTCCGCCGGAGGTTTCTGCCAAACCACGCACTCCAGGATGCTCCCGTCCTCACAAAAATCACGGAAAGCCGCGCACACGAAGACGGATTTCCGGCCCCGGTTGAAGGGCTGGGCCTTGAAGCGCCGCAGCTCGCTCTTCTCGGTACCTTGTGCTGAGACATTGCCGAAGAGCGCAGGAGGCTGCACAGGAAAGGAAGCACTCCCAATCCCAAACTTCACGTCCGTCTCCCTCAGCCGACTTACTGGAACCTGAAGCCCCCACAACTCTCGGCCGAGTGGCCCCACAGCTGACGAAACTTCGTTGCCGCGGCATCCTGCCGTCTCACAGTAGGGTAACAACACCACGAGGCATCGGTCACAAAAGTGGGCATGCCCTGTATCCTTGCTCTTGCTACGATTCGTATCTTGTCTCATTTCTCGTATGCTACTGGCGATGGTGGCAACCCGAGCTTTCCTATCACTGTCACTCAAGTTGTGTGTACTTACTAGCATATGTCCGTGCGCCCTCGTCTTCGTGTTCTCCTGACTACTTCATCTTCCGAATAGCTGAGCTGTACACGTGTGAACCGTGTGTTGTCGTCTCCTGGCCTGTGGCAAACACAGATGGCACAGCTGCCAGGCAGAGGTGTAGACGATGCCGACCGGGACAGTTACGGCCAGCGGGCTGCAGAGGCTCGGTTTCCCTATGGAATTCGGCTCTCAAAGAGGCGTGTTATAGAGCAAGAGCATGCCGGACGAGGACGATGATCAAATCTTCTGGATGTCCGGGCCTCAGGGTTCCGACGAGATTTGCACTCCCATGGTCCTGGGCGGATGGCCCTCGGTCTACCACGCGCTCCAGGTTTTCCGGGGCCAAGATCAAGCCGACAAGCACCTGGGCTCAGAGCTGACCTTAGCATCTCCCCCTGGCCCCTTGTCAAGGAAGGGCAGCCGGGTAGCCAACTGTCTTGCTTGCGGCCGACCATTCCGCCGACATAACACGAAAGGCCAACGACCACATTCATCCTCGCAATCACCATTGTCATCATCACCGCGGCCACCGTCACCATAATCATTGCCACTACCACAATCACCACCATCAGCAGAAGCAGCAACATTCTCGCTGTCACCAACTTCATCGAGACTGTGGAACCAAGTCCCCAAATGTGAACCCAGACCCCAAGCTTAATACCCCCAAAAGCCTACATTCGCTCTCCCCCTGCAGCCGCAAATCTGCAACCATCAAGCTTCAACGAAAGCCCCCAAACCCAGAAATGAAATCCCAAACTGGGAACCAGATCGCTTCCTCAAACCCTGCGCAAGCCTCACACCCTCAAACAGAAACTTTGAACCGCCGTCTCCACCCTAACCCTCAGATCCTATAGGATCTTGCAGTAGTCGTTTCATGACTCCCTATTCATATTATTATTAGTTAATTATACGGTATTCTTTATATTATTATTAATATAGAAAATATGAATGTATTATTCCAAATCCGAATCCATCCGAACCCCCTGTCCAAGGCAGCAGGGGACCGCCGGGCCGGTCTCCGGCGGCCGCTCTGTCCAGCGAGGCTGGAGATGTCCCACCCAGCGCCTGGGGGACGTTTTCGGGTTTTTGTTGGGGCTTTTGGGCTTTAGGGCCGCTTAGGGCTTAATTGGGGTTGAGATTGAAACGGTGCTGTAAGTTGGGCTAGGCTAGATGTGGGTAGACTAGCATTTTCGTTATTTTTCTGCTGTTCTGCCTCTTGTGTCTTTGCGGCGGCTGGGTGGACCAAACCTCCAAGCTAAACGACGCAAAGACGATTCAGCCCTGAACCCTCAAACCCCCTTACCCCTCGCCCCTTGAAAAAGAAATGCTGACCGGCGCAAGGTGCAAAGCCGAGCGAACACAGCGGTCGTCCAAGCCAGCACGCAGCACGGACCCTGAGCGCGATCTCCGGGTCTTCGAAGGGCCCACTGGAATGGTGGTTTGATGTTCAGGGTTTGGGGTCTTCAGTACTGTGTTTCAGGTCTGGGCACGAGGCTTTGTTGTTTGGGGAGTTGGGACTTCCATGCTGTTTGCGGTTTAGTGTCCACGGATTGAGGACTTGGCTTTGGGGTTCGAATAAGATGTAAGGTAAGCACACTGCAGTTTCGGATTACATTACATCAATCTTTGACGCTGCCAAACTCAAGAGTCGGAGCTTCGGGTAGCACTTTCTAGCGCAATGAAACTTTGGCGATTCCGGGCCGTCAGCTGTAAGAACTCTCCAACAACTTGAGGATGTCAGATACTCCGGTACACGCTTGAATTGCAGGCAAATACTACTCGCACCCTAGAAATCCTGAAGCCTGCATTCAAGTATTGCGAAGACCGCTGACACGGTCTCAAGCGTTGTGATGCCAACCCGCAAACGTCACCCTAAAAGTCGCTGCGGCCCCGCGGCGCAAGTGCTCTGCAGTTGCCAGGGCTTCCGGCATATCAGCTGGAAAGCCTGGGATCGGGGCTTCAGGTTGTAAAAGCACATAAGACATGAGCCTTGACGCTAGGATGGGCGCAGGGAGACTGATTTTCTTTGAGGTTAGAACTCCGTCCAAGGCCCAGGTGCCGGGGGGAACCTCGCCAGCAGGTGCCTCCGTCCTGGCGGGGATTCAGATTTGGAGAAGGCTTCTATGGGGTTCCGGATCCTTTTTTGTTCGGCAGCCTTGGTTTAGAGGCCTGAATATATACAGCGGGGTTTCAGACAAGTTAGGAGACGACCCGAACAGGCCTCAGATCTGGGCACATCGCCGTGCTCGAAAGTTGAGGTAGCCTGAGGCAGAGATCCTTGGCAAGGCCATGATCATTCTAGGTCTCTTGGCCTGGGACGGTGTCTCTCTGAGTGGTTAAGTCGTTAAGCTCTGCTTTTCGGGAGCGATCGGAAGAGTGGGTTTTTGGGCACCTTCGGCAGCAGGCTGAAGCAAGAGACCTACATACTTCGAGCCTCTTCAGGATTTCTGGAGAAAGGGAATCGTTCTGGGATTTCCCTCTCTTCAAGTCCAAGTTGTTGCTTCAAACAGATTCGCTACCTGCAGCGCAGCTTTTCAAGACAAACCTCCAAGCACGTAGGGTTCAGGGTCTGCTTTTGATCTGAAGCCCCCCCCCCCCCCCCCCACCCGCAAGACAGTCCTAAACGGCATGAACTTGCGGTGGGAGGTCAACCGGAGGTTCCCTCTCAACTCCCCTCCGAAGCTTCTACGCGGAGGTGGTGACTTTGATGCTCTAAGCCCGAAGCACTAAACTCTCAGAGACCACCCCGCATCTAGCAGCAACCCACCTGAACGCTGCACACTAATTGCACGGCTGGTGCGAGATCCCCCTTATTAGCCGCCGGCGCCGAAGAGCCTAAAACAAGCGCGCTCTGGGCCCTAGCAACAACAACTCGTACTGGAGCCGTGGTGTGTGGCTTCCTCGTACTCGCATCCCAAAAAAGTGGATGCTGATAAACCTATATACGAGTCACATGATTACTAGAAACTGAACTGCCGTCAGTTGTCCCACGCCAGCTCAGGCGTGGCTTGGCAGCCGAAGACCATCTCGAAAGGGTCAGCCTGGCATTTCAGTAGGAGCATGGAGTCCCATGCCCCAGACCTCTCCGAGTCCTGATTTCCAAAACTTCACCCCCCTCTGCCGGAGCCATGTTGTTCCGACTGCAGCCATGCATGGCTTTAGACATGAACTATCATCATGATTCCTGATACCAATATATATATATATATATATATTATATATATATATATATAGTAGCATTGTTCTTCATTTCCATCATCCCTACTCTGTTGAGCAATGATACTTTCCGCCCTGACCCGACACACGGCCTGGGAGTCCATCGCACGGAGGGCCCGCTTGGCCTCCCATTGCAGCCTCTGGACGTTGTGATCGTTTGGTCTTCTGCGATAACGTGTCCGAAGCCAGCTGCAACGCTTTGATCACAACTGAACCTCTATGGTAAAGCCCCACCCGGACCCCGTCGAATGGCTAAAACCTAAACCCCCAAAGGCCTGCAGACATGGCATCCGAGAGGCTCCTCCACGACTGGCCCGACTCGGTAAAGGAAGTTCACGGCACCCTCCTTAGAGAAGTCGAGACGCCCCGCCACCATCGAAAGACATTGTGTGTGCATGGATGGATGTATGGATGGAGGTACGTATGTATGCATGTAGTATGTATGCATCTGTCAGTTGAACCCTAGTCCGCTCCCTTGAGCAGAGTGCAGATACGGGCAGTGGACTGCACAGCACTTGTTGATACCGATGCCGCAGAGAAAAAGCCTTTGACCGCGGTCCGGTTCCGCTAGGAAGGCAGGCAGGAGGCGGAGCGACACCGGACCGACCCAGAGCTCAGCAGCTGAACACGCCAGGCTGTAAAACCTCTTGGTCTGTGAGGCCAGGAACAGGAGGCTGGCAGGCAGGCAGGCAGACGGACGGACAGACAGAGAAATGTTTTACACACACAAATACATATATATATATATATATATACATATATATATATATATACATTGATGTGTATATATATATATAGGTACATACACGTACAGTACATATTGCATATGTATATATATACACGGACATACATATATACATATAAACGATGCAAATGCAATACATGTACATCTATAATGTCTATAATCATACATCTATCTATCTAGATAGATAGATAGATAGATAGATAGATAGAGGTTCGTGTGTTTAGCTACACATACAGGAAAGGCTGCCCCTCCCTAAAATATAGACACTGTGGAGTGGCACGATTTCGTATATTTGAGAAACTGTTCAAATATACACGCGGACATGCGCATTGTGGAGATCAACCTTCAGCAGATACTTGTACGCATACTACACTTCCGATAAGTCGCTGAATTCTAGCTGGCTTTGTGCTCACGGGGGTTGTTCTAAACTAAGGCTCCCTCTGAAGGCACTTCTTGCCTTGTATGCACCGGCCGTCATCGGCCCGGTTCGGATGAAAGTTAAGGATTCCAAGTCAAGCTGTTCAAGCGTCAATGCTCTCAACCCTAAACCCCAAACTAGATTTCAATTTAGAATGTACGGTTGAGGTGCTGCTCTGCCAAGACAACGTCCACATGGCCAAGGCACGGCATCATAGAAGTGAGCGCTGGCAACCTTTTCATGCAGAGTTTCGAAAATTCAAGGATGTATAAAAAGGAGCCTTGTATTTTTAGGATCCTTCTGTTCAGTTCAGAGAGTCAAAATTGGGCTCCCTGTTTCTGAGACGCCCAAATCTGCCAGCGAGGCCCTGGCACATGTCAAGGATATGATGCGCGCGGCCTCTCTGAACTCTGAACACGACAGCCTCAACTCTTCCCCTCACAAATAGCAACCTGACGAAAGTTGGGGGAGTGTGTACTGCTTGCAAGGATGTTGGAGTCCGTGTACTGCAATCATGGTTAACCGCCAAACGCGCCTGCGCCTCCGTGCTGGAAAGCTTGGCGGCCCCGGCAACACCGAAGGTCACCTGCACACCAGGGCCCGGCTTTAGCCACACAGATTTTCGTTTTAGCAAAACTATGTGTGTGTGTGTAGATAAATATATGTATGTATGTATGTACGTACGTACGTACGTACGTACGTACGTATGTATGTATGTATACAGGTAGGCGTACAGGTCATGACTAGCATCACTCCTACAACTAATCCAACCAGCAATGCCAGTACGACCAAACTTTTACTGATGAGAGTGAAGTCACGATGATGAGAGCCCTGAGCCCAACATCATACGTTCACTGATCCGAGGAATCCTGACTCAAGATGTCTCACCTCGCTGTACAGGAACCATAGATTTACGCTGAAAGCAGGAGCCTAAGGCCTGGCATTAGGCCCTCGCGGGCCTTCTGCTCCTTCCACTCCGTGGTGGCCAGCACACTCAGGGTCAGCCTGTGGAGACTCGAGTTTCTGCGGGGATCGGCGGCAGGCTGCAACTGTGCAACTACGACGTTCCTGCAGTTTCGGATGCTTCAAGTCGAAATCCCGAACGCTCGGCCCTCAAATTGAGGGAGCCCCTCCCGTAAAGCAAGATCCAGTGGCTTGAAGAGCTGAAAGGACGACGTCTGCATCGGGGCCACGCCGGCGGTATTCGCCGCGTGTGCCGCCAACATGGACAGGAGAAAGCCTTCATTGACTGGGACTTGGATGCATTGGGGGGTTGGGGTTTCGCCTATCGTGTTGCTGCCTTGATCAGGGCCATGAAGCCAACGTCAAGCGTGTTTGCGAAACTTAAAAGACTACAGCCATAGAAAAAATGTGGGAGGAATTGGCTTCCTGGGCTCTTTACCAGAAGTTTGGACCTCCAGAGGCCAAGGCCTAGGCTTACTCAACAGCTTCTTCTTTGGGCTTTTCTTTTCAATCTCAGAAGCCGCTGACCGGAGTTGAGACGGCCCGATCGGAAGCCGCAGCCAGGAAGCCGCAGCACTGGGCCCATCGTTTCCTTAGGTTTCGCGGGGGTCGAGCGGTTCTTCTCGGAGCTGCGTGGACCCGAAGCGGTTGGATTGCATTTTGCTTCAACCCCAAGCAAGTCGAGGGGCAGAAGGTGGATCCCGTCGCGCAGGGCCGCAAACCGCTGAAGGCTCGAGTGCAAGGTCTCCAGATGCTGCCCTCGCGCGGTTTCGGCAGAGCAGCTTGATCTCCACTTAGTCTTGGTGATTTCTTTGGGGAGCAGGGCCCATTTCCTCGTGACCGCTTGAGGTTTCGGGCCACAGGGCTGTGGCGTTGGGCGCCATGGTTTGGAAGGTGTGATGCCGCACACCTTGGGAGCACTACCGTCAAGGCCCAGTCCTGAAACCTGACAACAGCGAAAGATCAGAGCCCCAAATCCGAAACCCAGACTGCTTTACTAGGGACCGCACGCATGCGAGCATCCTCGAGCACCTTCCCCGCGCAGAAGTCTATCGTGGAATCTCGACTTTAGAAGCAGGGTTGAAGGGGTTTCAGGCCTCTCTTCAACCCCAGACATGGATGCAATCACCGTTAAACTGATCATCCACAGCTGCTGCGACGCAGGGAAACAACGATGGAGAGGAAGGAACCCCCCACGCTTCGTTTCAATCGATTCGACCCCTTTCATGGCATTCCGCCAATTCCTGGTAACCAACGACCGTCAGCCTCGAGCCGAAGAGAGATGACATCCTGTCACGGTTTCTTCGCCAAAGGCACGCAGCTGTTGTAGTGGGCGGTGGCTGGCACTCCGCCATTCTCCAGAGCCCGGTCGGGGCGGACGGCGTTTCGGTCCTCGGCGCAGCGGCGTGCTGGTTCGTCGGTTTATGTGATTTGGGAGTTCCAGAGAACGAGGGATCCAAGAAAAGACCCATGATCCCCATGAAACAGAACCCCCGATCCCCGAGACAGAACTTTCTGCTGCAAAAGAAGTAGCGAAGACAACACGTCGAGTAGCATGTGAAAACCTGTGCATGCGTGTATCTATCCATGACAGTATATATTCATGAATGTGAGACTGTGTGCTCATGCATCTAAAGCTCCTATCTGTCTATCCCTTATCTCACCATGTGACCTGCAACAAAAAAATCAGGGCCCCAAAGAGCGAGCTGCCGGCCCCAACACGCGCACCGGCCACAGGTCTGCAGAATAGGTGGGCAGCAGCCGGATGGTCCACCTTTCACAGCCAGGTCGTGTTGTTTGGGTTTTTGGTGCAGGTTGAGGGTTTGGGCTTTGAGGTGTGGGGTTCTTGGTTCAGGGCACAAGGCCGAGAGCAGTTTCTCTTGCTGATATCACTGACATACAGCAATCCTTCACCCTCCCTTCCGCCAAAACCGGCCTCGCATCATCTTCCGGTTGGAGGCAGAGGCATGGCCTCGAAGGGTCCAGTGCTTTCGGGCGTCAGGCTTTCAGGCCTTTCAGGCCTTTAGGGTTTGGGGCTCTGAATCTAAAACTCGAGAAGCCTCGGCCCAACAAGCCCTGTTCCTGGCCCTTGAAGTGGATGCCATGGCACCGCAGCGGATCACCCGCCAGGGCCTACGAGGGTTAGAGGCTCGTTCTACACAGGGCTTCAGACGTAAGGAATCGGTCTTTTCGCAGGGCTCTGATCAGGATAACGATCTTTCGTGGACATGTTCCTGAGACGAGTAGTCCATCAGGGCCCCCCGAGACTCCAATATCCCTTAATTAAGGAGTATACCTTAAATTATAGTAGGATTCATACTATGACGTAAGACTTAAGGTATATTCCTTAATTCAGGGATGTTAAGGGATCCCTGGGCCAGAAGGCCCTGAAGAAGTACCGAGGGCTTCTGCCAAAAACGGCCTCGAAGCTGGCACTCAGGGCCACCAGCGGCTGGCTACCTGCCAGAAGGCATCGAGGCTTTGGGGAGTCCAGGCTTCAGGGTCTGACGGTAGCGGAAGCAGGAGTTAGAGGGTTTAGGGGGAGGGCCTAGGGAGTCTAGGGTAGTAGAAGCAGGAGTTATAGGGTTTAGTGGGCGTCCGGAGTTGCGAACAACAGACCACACTTAGCCGACATGCTTGGCTACCTTGGGACGGGTCGTTGGCCGTAGACACGAGCACATGCTGCTACATATCTCACATCTGTTTAGAGCGATCCACATGTTGTTACGTTATCCAGACGTGTATCAGCATCCTATGTGCAATGCACAAGTGAGCTTTGCACCACAATTGCTCCGCCCAACGAAGAGAGAGTTCTCTTCGAGCATGCAACTTTTTTCATCAGCTGCAGGTTGTCGGGTAAACCTCAGAAGGCAAGACGCCTCCGAGCAAAGGAGTGAGGTAGTGAGGGAGATAAGGACGGCCATCGCCCAAAACTTCATGCTCTGATCTATACGAATCCGGGCAGCCGTCTGAGCAAGCGGGCTCGCCTACAGCCTGCTTCGTTCTCCAGGCGGGTGTGACAGTGTGGACTCTTCTTGTAAGAAGTCGAAGACAGCGGTGGCAAACCGCTGCGGATGCTGGAGCTCCGGAAAGTGGGCAGACTCTTCGAAGTACTGATGAGAGACACCTCCCGAGACATAGCGAGAGAAGGAGGGCGCCTCCAACTCCCGCTGAAAGTTTCCACGGTGGGTCGCATCCTGCATTCCCCACACGACCAGCGTGCTGGTCTTGATCGTCGCAGCACCCTCACGCAGAAGGCCGACCAGCTTGCATTCTCGCGGTGGCGCATAAAAGAGCTGTTGCAGGCACCAGGCGAGGGGAAATCGAGCACCGGCATCAAAGGCCTTCCCAGCTACGGAAGAAAACCAGGACCGAGCTTCAACGGCTCCATGCTCTGAGGAACCCTCTGCGCCTAACGCCCCCAACCTTCGGCAGCCGGAGCACTCGAGGTAACTGCCACGTTTGGGAAAAGTGGCCTTGTACCAGTTGGCACTGATGGCCTTGGCATTCAGGTAGTTGTACAATCGGGCCAAGATTGGAAGTGACAACATGCCACGCACGTTAACGCCGTTGGCCCAGCGTAGCTCCCCTGCATAGTCCGCGCACTGCACCACCACCAAGTGTTCTACGGTGCCCTGTGGAAGGTCCCGAAGCAAAACAGGAGAGAACAAGGCACTGACGCAAGGCATCACGAGTACCAGCCCAGACTCCGAGGCAAACTCACACTTGACCTTCTTAACAAACTCGGTCAAATCGCACGCCAAATCATCCATCGAAGCTCGTGCCGAGTGTGACATCCCAAATCCAGGCAGCTCGAAAACGATCATCTCGCTCTCAGGGAAACGGCTCTGCATTGCTGTAAAGCAGTCATCATAGTGTTCCACAACGTTCGGCGGATCTGTCGCGAAGAGAAATACAAACTTCGGGTTCAAAACATCACCCTCGGCTCTTCGCTCGTGTCTCCTCAACCTGAACTGTGTGCGACCCACCGCCCACACATGAATCGCCATCGAAAGCAGGCGCTGGCTTGCTATGTTCTAAAGCCGCAGCCGTTTCCGCTACTCCTTTGGCTAGGTCCTGTCAAAGATGCATGGTGCTTGGAGTTCACGGCTTGGGGGTTCAGCATCACACTGCGGTAGCCTCGAAGAAGCCCACCACAGAGCTGCCGGTGCAGCTCCGCGAGGTAGGCCGCGCGCTTGTCGTGGTACCGGAAGTTTAGGTAATCCTCTCGCGGGTACGGGCGGGCCAGGAAATTGAAGCTCGATTTCAGGCTTAAAGGGTCAGGTATAGGGCTTACAAGTTTCGGTGCCAACCCCCTCCTTGGATCGGAAGATGTCTGAGGGCATCTCGACTGCCACATCCACAGTGAGCTCCTCTTTCGTGTACGTCCCGAGCCTGGAGCGCATCGCTGAACTCTGCCCGACACTCTGTGCCATTCCTACATGCCCCACATCAGCTGTCCATTTCTGGAAGGGAGACTGCTGCACCACTCTAGCATCGGATGCCCGAGCCGAGCAGCAGAAAGCTGCCGACCACGTCGATACGCCTCCAGGCTGCGCGCATGGCGTGTGCGTCACCGTGATATCCATAATCATCATCATCACCACCATCATCACCATCACCATCACCACCGCCATCATCAGTATCTTCACTATCCTGGTTGTCATCCATATGATCACTCCCACCTCATTTGCTACCATCGCTATCGTCATGATCACCAGCATCCCCGACACCAGTATCATCATCATCATCCTCATAATCATCCTCATCATCCACGAAGTCGATGCCGCCTTCATCATCATAATTCTCACGCGGTCGTCACTGGCAGCACTATTATCGCCGTCATGTCGATGCTCTCGTTCTCTGTCAGCACGATGGCAATCGTCATCATCTCTGCCACCATCGCCTTCAATAGCACCATCAGCAGCCTCACCACGAGATACCAGATGTCGCTGCAAGCGGAAGAGTAGCAACTGCGTTCATGGTCAGACTCCCCGACGTCATCATCACAATCACCCCCGCCCAAATCGCAACTGCCATTATTATCGTGATCAACGAACTTGTCATCACCACGGTCATTATCGTCATCATCATCATCATCGTCATCATCATCATCATCATCATCATCATCATGTCCATGTTAAATCAAATCTACGTCTCCATCTTCATCTCCATGCCTACCTCAGTCCCGCTTTTCGGATGCCTCTCGGGCGATGATGGTAGTGCTGGCTGCTTGCTGCGAGAATTTGGCTGGTGCAGCAAGCTGTCGCAGTTGCTCTTGTCGCTGTCGCTGCTGCTGCCGAAAAAATCTCAGTCTCATCAAAACCGCTGAACCCCAACATCCTGCGAGAAACTGTTGAAGCCGTTTCGAAAGCTCCGCCTCGGCGCCGTGAAACGCAGCGCGGAGGGAGCCGCCCCGCCCCGCTGCATGAAGCGCAGCGCCGGGAACTCTTGGGCAAAGTCTGCCTCGGCAGTTCCATCAATTCGCATGCCCAGCGGAATGTCTGAATGCCCTCCCTCAAGGACTCAAGGACTCAAGCCGGCCGAGGACGGGCCGAGGAGCTGGAATGTCTCTGGCCCGGAGCTTCTCCAGAAGCAGCGGCCGCAGAGCATGAAGAGCCGCCTGCAAAGCGGCTCCCAACAGACCTAGCTGGGCTTCATTGGGCTGAAAGGGCCGCTGAGCACCGAATTCCACGCGAAAGGCTCAGGGACCGCTCATCAGAAGCTGCGAACTTGCCGCTCTGAGATCGGAGTGGATCTCGTGCCTCAAGCCCCGGCGGCGGCTTTTTGGGCGTCATCTCCTTAATGAGCTCCTGCGCAGGATCTTCGAATCTTCGAAGAGAGAGACCCTACAGATCACAGAGACCAAACCCCCAGAAGCCATGGCCAGGCAGCCCCCAAGAAATGCAGAGGCAGAAAGCACTTCGGACTGAACGCTGCGCAGCCTCCAGTTGCAGCCGGAAGAGGTTCGATTTGTAAAGGTTCCGCGTTCGTGCAATCTCGACCACCTGGGCCACCAAAACGTCTGTGGGATGCCTCGCAGTGTTCCTCTTACTTCGCGGGACATCCGGGAGTGCCAGACAGAAGTTTAGTGCTTGAAAAACGGATGAGATTCCCCAAACCCTCGACCCCCCAACAGCTAAAACACAGAACCCCCACACCAAACCCTCCTGAACCCAAGCCTAAGCCCTCGAACATCTCCCAAAGCCCCATAAAAGCTCTCCTAGAAGCCCACTTTAAGCCCTAAACCCTAAACCCTAAACCCTAAACCCTAGACCCTTAACCCTAGACC